AGTGAGAGAGCCCTGCGGTACCGGGTGGGCGAGCAGATCCATGGGTTCACCGTGCAGCAGGTAAGCATCGCCCTTCGCTCGCCTTTCCTCCGCGCTTGTACGGATGAGTTTCCCCTTGCTCGGAAAGCGCCTAAGTGAGGCCAGGAGTCTACGCACTAAATATTTGTGTAGGTGCTTTGGATGGCCAGTTAAAAAATGATACGGTAGCCACTGGTAGTTATCCTTCTGCCACCAAATTCTTTAGGCAACGTTCCTATAGGGAGCTAACTCTTCAGAGTAAATAAAGCACCCTGCAGTTTGCGTGCCTGCCGCAGATGCTGGGCGTTCGCTGTGGCCCTCTAAAAGTCCTGACAGATAACCGAACTTCACTGTGTGCTGTTTTATGCAAAGACATTCAAGTAATATTTTTTTCTACTAAGGTGCTTTTAATACTTTTGTTAAGAACCTGCAATGGAAATAATACGTGGAATTTCTTTTTACTTTTTTAAAGAAAAAAGCAGAAGCAGAGAGTAAAGGTAATTTGCAAAAAGTGATTGCTGGTGGCAGAGCTGGTGGTAGAACTGGGTTCCTTGATTTTTCTTTTGCTGCCCTAACCACTGGCATTTGAATATACGCCTTTTCTTTGTATTTCTGATCAAATTGTTCTGGTCTTAGTATCTGTACCAGAAGAGTATAGTTCTTTGATTGTAGTGTATTTTAATTGTGTTCTTAAATTTTATTTTCCATTTGCATACTTCTTTTTTTTCCCCCCACAAACCATAGGAACAAAGAATTTATTTAATACTGTGTATGTCAGTATTATATACAGGATCACAAAGTGATGATTGCTGTATCATCCATGATTTATATGACCTTGTTGCAGTCACACTGTAATACAGATGTTTTCTTCCAATGCAGGTGACAGCTGTTCCTGAGCTGTTCCTGACTGCAGTGAAGCTTAGTCATGACTGTACAGGAGCCAGATATTTACATGTGGCTCGAGAGGACTCCAATAACCTGTTCAGGTAAAACATTAATATATGTATAGCACTGTCCTGGTTTTGGCTGGGATAGAGTTAATTTTCTTCCTAGTAGCTGGCATAGTGCTGTGTTTTGGATTTAGTAGGAGAATAATGCTGATAACACACTGATGGTTTAGTTGTTGCCAAGTAGTGCTTACACTAGTCAAGGACTTTTTCAGCTTCCCATGCTCTGCCAGGTGCACAAGAAGCTGAGAGGGAGCACAGCCAAGATAGTTGACCCAAACTGACTAAAGGGCTATTCCATACCATATGACATCATGCTCAGTATAGAAACGGGGGGGGGTTGGCCGGGGGGACAGCGATCACTGCTCGGGGACTGTCTGGGCATCAGTCGGCGGGTGGTGAGCGGTTGCATCACTTGTTTTTTTTTCCCTGGGTTTTGTTTCTCTCTCTCGTTGTTCTCCTTGTCATTACAATTTTTATTACTATTATTATTGTTATAATATTTCAATTATTAAACTGTTGTTATCTCAACCCACAAGGTTTCTTACTTTTGCCCTTCCGATTCTCTCCCCCATCCCACCGGGGGGGAGGTTGAGCCAGCGGCTGTGCGGTGCTTGGTTGCCGACAGGGGCTAAACCACGTCAAGCACGTTCCATCTCGGCATCAAGTTGTGGTTTATAAATTGTAATCCAGCTTCATAACTGGATTTTTCTGTGATAACAAAGACAATAGTACTTCCTTTGTGAGACTTCCTTAGAGTTTTTTAGGCTGGAACAGATGTCGTGAGGCCTGTTGTTCAACCTGCTTGAAACAGGGTCAGCACTTAATTCAGATGACGTTCCTGAGACATTTATCCAGGTGAAAACTTCCAAAGACAGAGATTCTACAACCTCTCTGGGCAACCTGTTCCCAATGTTTGATTGTCTGTATGGTGTTTTATTTTTCTTTAATATCAAGTTGGAACCTGCCTTGCTTCAATTTATGAACATTGTCTCTTGTCCTTCCATCATACATATCTATGCAAAGAACCTGTCTTCATCATAACCTCCTTGTAGGTATTGGAAGGCAGCTATTGAGTCCCCTTGACGCCTTTCCTTCTCCAGCCTAAATAAGCCCAGTTTCTTCAGTCTCTTTTCACAGGGCATGTGCTCTAGCCCCTGACCATGTTTGTGGCTCTACACTAAACTACTGAAAATTTATTATCATCTCTTCTGTATTGGTGAGGCGAAAACTGGACTTTCCGATGAATTGCCTTATAGTTGCAAGATGTAAACCAGTTCTTTTTACCATAACCTTCCATGAATTTTTTTCCGAGCCTTTTACCTAAAATAGAAATGTGTTTAGTTATGTGCTGAAGACTTCTGTACCGCCTCCAGAAATAGAAGTGCAGAGGTTGTACACCCTCTAGAAGAAGTGGCTGAGCACTCAGGAGTCAGAAGGACTCAATAACTCTGCATCCTGCTGTATGCTGTGTTAGTTACTAGACAGCGATAAAGTTGCCATAAATCTCGGCTGCAGATAGGAGGTGGATGGACTTCTCATCACAAATAACTGCATTCCTCTCTGTGCTCTCTGTCTTGCAGTATACAATTCCGAACCACTCCAATGGACAGCACTGGGGTCCCACATATCCTTGAGCACACTGTGTTATGTGGTTCTCAAAAGTATCCTTGCAGAGATCCATTCTTTAAAATGTTAAACAGGTCGCTGTCCACCTTCATGAATGCATTCACAGGTGAGCCCAAAGTAAATAATACCACTTAAAATGCATGAGGCTTTGTTGCAGTAGAGCTGTCTGTTGTCTCTCCTCAATTTCCCTTTGGAGAGCCATTATTATTAAGTGTGAATGTTGAGAGTGAGAGATTAAAAAACTAACAAGGCAAAGCACCAAAATAGATCTTGTTCATTTGGCAGTTACAAAGTCCCAATAGAGCTGGATCTTTATAGTATACAACAGTGCATTTAATTATTCATACATACGGCAAAAGCAAAGTTCTAATGGTAAAATTATTGCAGTGTTAAACTTCTGTGTGTTCCTCAGGAAAAATATGTATCATTTAATAAGTTTCTTCTCTTCCACTTATTTATATAGAGGAGAGATTAAAAACAAACAAGGGCAAAATGCATCTCAGACTTTCTAAAATTCTGATCTTTCTACATTTATTTATATGCAGCTAGTGATTACACACTCTATCCATTTTCAACACAAAACCCCAAGGATTTTCAGAATCTCCTGTCGGTGTACTTGGATGCAGCTTTCTTTCCATGTTTGCGGCAACTAGATTTCTGGTAAGATGTGGACAGCTTGAGATGTATGCAAACCTTAAATTAAAGCAAACAAACAAAAAAAAAACCCAAACCAAAACCTTCAAACTCCCAATACTTCCTGTTATTAATTTTTTTCAGGCAAGAAGGTTGGAGGTTAGAACATGAGAACCCAACTGATCCTCAGACACCTCTAGTCTTCAAAGGAGTTGTTTTTAATGAAATGAAAGGGGCGTTTGTAAGTTTTGTGAATTTTTGTTTTAAGATCTTACACATGGTGAAGTGGCTTAAGCTGCAGGTTATCAATGGCATTATTGCACCAGAGATTTCCATTTCTCCTTTGTGAAATTTGAGTCCTCAGTAAAGTCAACAACCGTTACATGGTTATTCTTAAAGTTAGCCTGTTGAAAGTTTTTTTACATATAAAATAACACCTTGCTAATAGATTTTATTTTTTAAATCAACATAATAATGTAGGTAGTTTTATCCAAGTACACGGGACTACAGAACAAAATGTTTATGCGAGGAGGAGCTTTTGTGTTAAGTTAGAGCTCTGAGGCCTTATTATTGAGCACCTTTTATTTTTAAAATGTGTTTTGATGACTTTTACTGAAATGTGGTGTTTGCCTCTTAAGACAGATAAAGAGAGGATATTTGCACAGCACCTGCAGAATAAAATCCTTCCTGATCACACTTACAGTGTAGTATCTGGTGGAGATCCATTATGTATTCCTGACCTTACATGGGAGCAGCTTAAACAGTTCCATGCCACGCATTATCATCCAAGCAATTCCAGGTATCTGAAATTTGTGACTAACTTAATAGGTTATATAGTGAGTTAGCACTCTGTTCATATTTTTGTGAGGGAAAACCAGCAATACAGTGTTTCCATACGTATGGCCAGCAACTTAGATAACCTGTGACTACCAGCAGCTAGGACAACATTGAAACAAGGAAGAGAGAAGTGAGGGGTGAATTGGGAGCAGAGGCTCCTGAGAAATGGCTGATTTTCTAGAGTACGTCTGCCTGCTTGATTATGAGGATTTGTTTTGGGGATTTTTGTTTACAGATGATTCACCTTGAACTCATATGGGGTGGGGGGAAATGGAACATACTAATAAGTATTTAGCAGTAATGTTTGGGAGTTATGATGCAAGTAACACCAATGAGTCTAGAGGTTCCTATCCTCCTTCAAGTCAACACAGAGTAAAAGCTATAAAAAGAAGTTATACATGAACGGCTGTGTTTGCTCCTGAATCACACATTACTGTATCAGGTTCTAAATAATCGATATCCATTTGAGTCAGATACTAATTCTGTTGGTACTGCTAAAAGTCATCTTGTTTGAAAATGTGAACATGAGATGGAGGGAAATCTATGCTATCATTGTTTCTTCTAAACCAATTTTGCAGTCAATCTGTTAGTCTGATTAGTTCACTTATGGAACATCAACTTGTGTCATGATAGTGAATTTACCATCCTTTGTTTTTCTCATCATTCCAAGTATTCTGTTGTACCTGTGTTTAGATTTTAGTCAGGGAATAACATTACCTGAGACGTACCTTATCCTCATATTTAATCCAGTGGAAGTCAGCAGTGTTTCTTGTGGGTATGAGAGTGTGCTTTGGTAGACTGACCTGCAGAACCCAGCCATGTTTTATAGATCAGTTGAGATCATCGTATTTTAGCCATTATGTGTGAGGACCGTAAGAATTTTGTCTTCTGAAACTTCAGAGCACTGGGATTCTGGCTTCAATTACTAATACTTCTTCTTGGAACATTGTATATTGCTGCAACTAAACAAATTCTTATTTTTTTGGTGGGCTCCAGAGCATAAAACAGGAGCTGAAAAACGTTGTGGAATTCTACCAGCAGATCCAGGGGTTTTATGTATATGGCAAACTGGTGGGCCTTTAACATAGGGGCCTTGCAAAGCATGTTCCCTTTTAGATGTAACTGAATCACTGGAAATCACATGAAGTTCAGAATATTATAATGTTACTGTAAATTTCATGTAAAATCTGATGCTTAATCCCAAATGCTTTCATTTGAAATGCAGATTTTTCACGTATGGTAATTTCCCACTGGAGCAACATTTGAAACAAATACATGAGGAAGCATTGATAAAATTTGAAAGAATTGAATCAAATACTGACATCCCAAAACAGAAACTCTGGGAAAAGCCTGTAAGTAAAAAAAAAACAAAGAAAGAGAAACAGTGCACATTCAATCTTGGAACTGCAGAAACTGTGTATAACAGGTTAACATTTCAGCCCAGGCTGCTGGAGTTATTTTGTTTGTTTAGAAGTGTGTGTGTTTGTGAAAGAGCTGAAGTATTTTTATTTTTGGTTAAAGTGAGGGGAAAAACTACATTTACTTTTGAGTTTCAGTAATGTAATGACTGCGTGCAGTTGTTTCTTTTTCTTATTTCCAGTTCTCAAGTCCCTCAGTATTTGGAGCTTTGAAGCATTTATTAATGGATAGCATTTAAAGCTACTTATACAAACAGTGATTCTTAAATGTCAGGAAGTATGCCCTCTAATGGTACCTAAACTTCCAAACATTGGTGTCAAAAATAACTTTTTCCATTCTCCCCTTCCCTCCTTTGCTTAAGCATTTCTTTGAAACCCTGCTCAGTGAGTTAATTATGGCCAGATTTTCTTGATCAGCTCCTCTGTTTCTCCATGTGTAAAAATTGCGATACCACTCATATTTTTCACAATATCCTGTGCTTGTGTATTTACTTAGGAATATTGAACTTACTCATGAGTATCTGTAAAATTATTTGAAATCTGTGGAAGGAAGATGCAATGAAGATCCAAGCAGTAATTTTTTGTTTGTAGCTTCTGCTCTGAGTTTAGTCTGCATCAAATGCATTTATTATACTTTACAGAGAGAACACAGTGTAACATGTGGCTTAGACTCATTTGCTGCTGATCCTTCCAAGCAGACAACTGTCAGCGTCAGCTACTTATTGACAGAGTAAGTGTATCAAAATGAAATTCTGAATCAAAGGCTCATTTTAGAACTTCAAGCAAGATGCAGGCATATTTCATGTCCCCCATCCCTCTTCATATATGTCATCTTTAAATTAAATAATGCCATTAGAAAGCTAGACAAATCCTCCTTTAGTAAATGAAAGTTTAATTACTAAGCAGAATTTTTCCTGTGTTTTTCTTTAGCAGGTAGACATGAGGAAAATCAGCTATTATCTTACAGAACTGTTCTGTGGATTAGACTTTTGGGAACGCTGGCTTCCTGTCTTTCAATTTCCTGCCATGTGCAAGCTTTTCTGTATGACCCTACTACTAACTTTATCTACCCTTGCAGCCTAATTTACCTTGCTTTACTGCTACTTATAGTAAGTGAAAGATGCAGAACTCTCTCAGTTCCCTAAGGTTTGGTGCAGTGTTCATAAGTGACAATTGTTTCTCCCTTGCTCCCTCTACATTGTTTTATAGAAGTAATTCTTCTGAAATGAACGCAGTGATGCTGGGTGTCTCATATTCTTAGCCTGATGTTTTTTAAGAACTATTTTTTCTTCAGTATTGCAGACACTTTTGAAACGTTCACACTAAGCCTGTTATCTTCACTGTTGGTTGATGGGCCGAATTCTCCTTTTTACAAAGCCTTAATTGAGTCTGGTGTTGGTACAGATTTTTCTCCTGATGTTGGGTAAGCGTTGCAATTTACATTTCATTACTATAAGCAATATTAGAAGAGATACAAACCACTATTAAGTTGGGAGAAGTGGTCTCTTATACAGGCAATTTACACCAGAATAATCTTATTTTAATATTAAAATATCTTAAGAGTTTCTGCTGATGAACTATAAAGCATTCTCGAGTGTAATTTTTGGCTTGTCAAAATAATTCAATAGAAGCTATGTTAGTTTAAACAAAGTTGTACTGTTTAAAGCTTGTGAACACGAAAAATGGGTAGGTGTACCTTCAGTGACCTAATTTACTTGGCCATTTAGTATTACTCAGAAGAGTTCACTAGCTCTTCTCCGTACTGTGTTACCTTTGCTTTTTTGGTTTAATTCTGTGATTTAGTAGTAGGTAGATTTGGTAAAAACGTGCTTTTGTGTAGTTAGCTGCCATTAACTTGCCATTGCCTCTGTACAAAAGGGTATTTCTGCCAACACTTACTTACTCAAGCTGCAGCTCTTGCAGCCAGTCTTCTGAGCTCGCTCTGTGCCGCAGACTAAGGGTGGGTGGATTGTCTTCACCTAACTACAGGCTCAGCTGCTCGTCATAGTTTGCCTTTATTGGCAGCAGAAAGAAAGAAGCACTTTCAGGGCATGATTCATCTGACTGATTTTTAGACTTGAGGATGACAGAAATCATGCTTTCGTCTCCACTGACTGTGTCTCAGATGTTTGAGTGGGAAACTTTAATATACTCATCTATTATTTTAATGCCTTAGGACTGGCAGGAAACCCATGACTCCACCTCGAGACAGTTCAAGCCAGGCAGAGTACCCTATGTCATGCATGCCAGTGCCATGCAGACATCTTAATATCACAGGGCACGGCAGTAGAAATCCATCTTCAGACACTGAAGTAGTGATTCAGTTGTACGTTTTGTTTGCTGAGCCTTTTCCAGGTAGATTATATTAATATGGTGTTGAACCATATAGTGAGTTGGCTTTAATTTGCCCTAGTGACTGTGCCAATGAACCAATCTAGAAGAGTAAGTTTGAGTCCAGAGATCAGAATTCAACATCTGAGTCTCTCACTGAATCTCTTCTGTGTTTTTTAGACATGAAATAGTGGATGTTTAGAGATGATGAACACCTGTTGCTTTTTGTTTGTTGGCTTATAGTTCAAAATGCTAGGTGTTCCGTATGGCTGCAAGTGTCACTTTGTCTCTCTAAAGATGAATTCTTATGGTTAACCCTGCCTGACAGCTTGAACAAAATTATCTTTACTTTTTCTTTTTAAGTACTATTGAAAATAATTGCAACAAACATGGAACACTTCACCTTCACCACTTACTTACAGATACTGCTTTAAAAGTACGAATTTAAAAGCGTGAATTTAAAAGTACCGTTCCAGTCACCCGCTTAAGTAGAAAGTATGTGTTTGGCATTACAGGCAGCTAAAATTTTCACCTTAAAAAAGAGACTTCTTTACCTGAAAGTACTTGCAGATGAATGGGAAGATGAAAAGAAAAGACTAGCTTTTCTTCTGTAACTGTTTTTCTTTCTCTAATGTCATATGCTGTATGTTTTCTTAACAGTGTGCTACTACTACTGAAATTGAACAAAAAATGCTTTTAAGTTCCATTTCTTGCCTCTTTGGTAATTATTTTTCTTTCTACCTAGCTTTTAAAATCCTGTGTGTGTGTATGTGGAAATTACAGGTGTTTTTCCCCTTCTTCTGCCTTTGCTGGCAGGTTTAATGCTTAAGTTCTAGTACTTGTCACTGAGTTGAATATGTTTTATTACAGGTTTAATGGCTCAACAAGAGAAGCTTATTTCAGTGTGGGTCTACAGGGTATTGCTGAAAGAGACATTGATACTGTGAAACAGATAATTGCTAGAACAGTTGATGAAGTTATTGCGTGAGTAATGCTAAATTTTTGAGAATACTGTTAGTTCTTTCATACAGCCTTATACAATTAGATATTAATAATATGATAATATATAGGCATATAATAATAAAGGCATATATAAAATAACATGCCTTAAAAATTTAGTTATATTAAAATTAATGCACCAAAGAAGCAGTAATGTTGTTCAATAGTCTTAAAACTTGTGTCTGCTAACTTCCTCTATTGTAGCATATTCATCAGCATAACCTTCAGGAGTTTAATGATATTAGTGCAGTTTCACTAAATGACACAGCATGATAAGATTATTTCGTATCAATTTTAATTCAGTGTGGAAGACATTATGTTGTAATGCTTCCTTTATCGATGTTATAATTCATTTTCATAACTTCACTTAAAGTGATTAGTGTTAATGGATATGATTTCCTTCTCTCATTACACTTCCCAAAGGAAAGGATTTGAGGAAGATAGGATTGAAGCTTTACTTCACAAAATTGAAATCCAGCTGAAGCATCAGTCTACGAGTTTTGGACTTGCCCTGACATCCGTAAGTCTGTATGTGTGCCCGTGTGTGATGCTTTTTTAGGAATGGATAAGAAATCTATTGTCAACATCTGTACAAAATATGGGGTCATTTTGTAGGCTCTTGATACGTAAAACTTTTCACTTAAGGGCTTGTCCTTTCTCATCTCATGTACACCTTTCTTCCTTGTTTTCAGTAGCCTTCGCACTATTGCTGGACTGCACAATGTATGACTTAATCAGGCAGCGAGTCTGTTGTCTTTGCCTGAATTTGATTGCAGTAGCACTGATTAATTCTGGAAGAGAGGCATGCCATACTGACTCTTGTAACTGTATGTTTTGGCCAGATGCCTATGTATGTTCAAAAATCAAATAGAAGAACTATATTTTTCTATGGAATTTAGGGTTGTACTACTGTAATTTAATTTAAAGATTCACAAGTGAAAATGTACAGTAATTCAATTCTTGGCTTAAAATTTCAGTACCTAAGTTGTTAATGGAAAACGTGTTCCACAGCAGAATGTGGTGTCTTTAAGAAGTCAGCAAGTCATCGTAAATTTCGGAATGAGTTAGCTGAAGTGTTTGCAGTCAGTTTGGAAATCAGGGCCTCCTGCTGCCACCCGTTCTCCACTGGCCTGTTTTTTTTTCTGCTCTGCAGCAACTTCATTTGCTAAGCAGCTCTTTTGCTTTGTGTCTCTCAAGTGTTGTATCTTCTTCAGCATGAACAGCTGGTCATTCCTTTGGCATACAAAGTTAGGTAAAGAAGCAGAGTCCTGGTTTAACATGAGACTAGTAAACTGGAGAGCACAACCAAGAACTGTTTTAAATCAGATTGCCATACAGTGAAATAGACAAATTGTGGATATCTAATTGCGTGTCATGTTTCATACTAGGATCTGGCAAAATGTGCCTGATTTTGATAGCCAATACTTTCTAGCATGTCTTCAGATTGTGTAATTCTGTGTGGTGAAATATTGACACATATACTTTCTCTCTCAACATTTTTAGGTCTTGAAGTTGATTCAACTGTTAGGACTTAATTCTGGAACAGAAAGCTCTTAAACAATTCTTGCTTTTAAAGACCAAACAGTCACGCAGCATTTGGTGTTAATACTCCCATAGAAGAGGGTTCTATTTCAGTTTGTTTCCCTGAGGTTGTGTTTTAGAAGTTGACCTTGAAAAGGGCCTGATAGGGGCCTAATTGTAACTAAAGTAATTGTAGAATCATAGAATGGTTTTGGTCAGAAGGGACCTTTAAGATCATCTAGCTCCAACCCCCTGCCATGGGCAGGGCTATCTTTCACTAAATCAGGTTGCTCAAAGCCTCATCCAACCTGACCTTGAACACTTCCAATGATAAGGCATCCACAGTTTCTCTGGGCAACCTGTTCCAGTGTCTCACCACTCTCATTGTAAAGAATTTTTTCCTTATGTCCAATCTAAATCTACCCTCTTTCAGTTTAAAACTGTTGTCCCTTGTCCTGTCACTACAGGCCCTGGTAAAAAGTGTCTCTGTCTTTCTTACAAGCCCCCTTCATGTACTGAAAGGCCGCAATAAGGTCTTCCTGAAGCCTTCTCTTCTCCAGGCTGAACAACCCCAACTCTCTCAGCCTTTCTTCATAGGAGAGATGTTCCATCCCTCTGGTAATTTTTGTGGCCCTCCTCTGGACCTGCTCTAACAGGTCAGTGTCTGTCTTGTACTGTGGGCCCCAGAGCTCAATGCAGTACTCCAGGTGGGGTTTCAGCAGAGCGGAGTAGAAGGGGAGAATCACCTCCCTCAACCTGCTGGCCACGCTTTTTTATGTGTAGCCCAGGATGCGATTGGCTTTCTGAGCTGCAAGTGCATATTGTGGCCTCATATCCGATTTTTCATCTGCCAATATCCCCAAGCCCTTCTCTGCAGGGCTGCTTTTAAACCATTCATCACCCAACTTGTACTGATTACTAGTCGTTGCCCCAGCCCGGGTGCGGGACCTTGCACTTGGCCGTGTTGAACTCCATGAGGTTCACATGGGCCCACTCCTCCAGCCTGTCATGGTCCCTGTGGACGGCATCCCTTCCCTCTAGTGTATCAACTGTACCATTCAGCTTGATGTAATCTGTAAACTTGCTGAGGGTGCCCTCAATCCCACTGTCTATGTCATTAATAAACATACTGAACAGTATTGGTCCCAATACAGACCCCTGGGGAACAGACACCACTTGTTACTGATCTCCGTTTGAACGTTGAGCCATTGACTGCAGCTCTTTGGATGCAGCCATCCAGTCAGTTCGTTATCCATGGAATAGTCCATCCATCAAACCTGTCTCTTCCCAATTTAGCAACAAGGATGTTGTGTGGGACTGTATCACAGGTCTTACAGAAGTCAAGATAGATGACATCAGTTTCTTTTCCCTTATTCACCAATGCAGCCACTCCATTGTAGAAGGACACCAGATTAGTCAGGCACAATTTGCCTTTTGTGAAGCCATGTTGGCTATTACAGATGACAGCCTGTGTACTTTTAAATGTCATGTGGTAAAGATTCTCTGACTTCCTTGCTGTATTCCAGTGCTATGCTAGCTTTACAATTAGGAGGACTTTTCTCTGTGTGATGTATTTATTTAAAATGCAGTAGGATAGGTGAAGCATTTGGCTGAAGGCTGGGGATCAAAGAGTTTCAGTAAATGGGGTAATATCTGGCTGGTGGCCAGTCAGTAGTTCTGGAAGGCTCGATTTTAGGGCCAGTTCTCTTCAACGTTTTTATCAATGACCTGGACGCAGGAGTTGAGTGCATACTAAGTAAGTTTGCCAACAATACTAAATAAGGAGGAGCCATTAATTCCCTTGAGAGTAAAGAGACCTCAACAGAGAGATCTTGATAGATTAGAGCACTGGGCAGTCACAAGCTGTATGAAAGTTAACAAGGACAAATGTGGACTCTGCACCTGGCATGGTATAATTCCGGATGTACATATAGATTGGGGGACGAGGATGGAATGCATCCCTGTGCAAAGGGATCTGGGGGTTTTCATTGATGGTAAAGCTTAATACAGCCAAAAAAGGGCCAACCATATCCTGGGGTGTGTTAAGAACGGTATAGCTAACTGGTTGAAAGGAGTGACTGTCCCAGTACACTCAGCATTGGTGCAGCCTCACCTCAAGTACTGTGTGCAGTTTAGGGCTCCACAATATAGGGAGGTGTCGTGGTTTAGCCCCAGCCAGCAACTCAGCACC